GGGTGTAGAGCTCGCACTACTCAGAAGCGCCCGCGACTTCTTCGCAGTCGCAGCGGAGTCAGCGGGAGCAGACCTCTCTGCGGGAGCCTGCTGGTCCTGACCCTCGGCGGCAGCAGGCCGCTGAGCAGCTGGCTGCGGCTCCTCATCGCCCTTGGTTTCCCTCTCTGCGGCCTCCATCTGAGCATCCTCAGCCGGACTGGCAAGCTCTGCATCGGGAGGTCTCAACGAAGCCTGAATCTCCTCTTCCTGGACGCAATCAGCAAAGGGAGAGGGGAGATAAATTCAGGAATGCTTGTTGCAAGATTGCTTCATTCATGCTTGAAAGCCAGAGTCCTGCTCGCGGTCCATCGCATCCACCATCTCTCGGGCGGCAACCCAAGCCGGGTCTTCCGGCTCCAGCAGCTCCTGAATGTGTGCAAAAGTTTAGATTTCGACAGCTTCTGGACAGATGACAAATCGCACGTCGTGGGGAGAGATAGACTATGCGTTTTTTTCGGGGACTCCGCCCGGGCCAGCCTGCTCGTCTGGAGCAGCCTCGTCCTCTTGCTCTTTCTCGGCTTCCGCCATGGACTTCTTGTTTCGTCGCTGGTCCATCTCTTGCAGCATGTTCTCCACCCGCTGCAAAGTCTCTGGGCTGCATGCCTTTTTCACCTCCGGAACTTGCATCAAGGCTCGGACCTTGGCGGATTTGCTGGCATTCTTGCGAAGGGGCACCTTGTAGGCAGCGAGAAGCTCGGAGAGCGACTCCACTGTCACTTTCACGATGCCCAGCTTCTGGAAAAGTGCCACGAGAAGGCTGTTGCCCTCAACACTACGTCTTGCCAGGCAGGAGGTGTCGAGCTTGGCAGCCAGAGCTCCCTTGCAAAAGTGCAGGGTGTAGTCAAAGACCCGCACCTGAGTGGTGCAAACATATTTTTAGTTTCCTGCACAAACTCCTTGGCCTCCAAGTCCCGGCCTGGGACAGCTCGAGCAAGAGCTGCTGAGGCATTCGCCTCTGCTCTCGGCAATTGTTGGACGGCGAGGAGAATATTATTCTGACAAAGTCTGGACAAGCAAAGCTTATTCGCGTATAAAACCTCTGTCTTTTGCACGACAAGCTTCGCATCCATGTCCACAGCGAGAGCACAGACCCGTTGGTGCTCAGCCAGAGGATCCTCTGCGGGTAGTCCGCAGGTGCCGTCTGCTGCGATGTTTCGCTCGTCGACCTCTGCCGGCGGCAGCGTGCCACGAAACTCGTAGGTCAACTGCTTGAGGGCCAAGGCCTGGGGCTGGGCACAACTTTTGTGTCCAGATGTGGAGGTCGAGCTTCAACAGGTGTGCCTTTTCGGCATTACCTCTACCACGGTTTAGTTGCCGGTCTTATTCTTCGTTCCGGCGTACCTAAACCCTAAACCCTGAACCCCAAAACCCCAAACCCTAAACCGTAAGCCCCTAAACCCTAAACCCAAAACCCCTAAACCCTACACCCTTAAACCCTAAACCCCTAAACCCTAAACCGTGTAATTGATGAAAAGAGTGTCTTTGGGAATCCTGGTACTACTTGTTTCCTTTAGAAGGATTGCAATGACTATGGCAGCATGAAGACCTGTCAAGTAGCATAGGTGACGTTGGGCGTGCTGCCGAGGCAAAGGTACCACTTGCTGTTGTCGACGTGCAGCAGCATAGCTCGCTGAACGATGGAGGACGTCCAGAACGTCCCCGTTGCCTGCGTCACATCCACACCGAGCCTCGGCTTTGGCTTTACTCTGGAGGGAAATTCTCGCGGCACAACGTGTAGTGTTTGCCTCAATCATTTCTCGCAGCCTCCGGGCCGCCATCCAGCCGCTCATCGCCGTCAAAGCGTTGCGGTTGTGGTGAAAAGGGCTCGTGGACGGAAAAGGTTTAAGGATGTCGTCCAGGCGGAAGTCTTCAGGCTTGAGGCCTGAGTCACTGGGGCAGAGCAGCCTTGCATGCCGATTAAACGAAATCTGGGCTTGGAAAACAAAACAAGGAATTAGCTGGCCAAGTTCTGAGGCAGCAAACTGGAGTTATGCTTCTTTGTGG